TGGACTTGTTTCTCTAAAGTACCCAGTAATACAACACCTTACCTTGAAACCAGGCCCTAGCGAAAATCCTGCCTCAGGACTGCACTGGGAGAAAATGCTGAATCATTCTGAGCAATCTTGATGCAGGACTGTACTCAGAGATACTCCTGAAACACTCTGAGACATACTGACCCCGAGCAGCAGCCCAGATAAAAGTGAAATGACTCATGGGACCCAAGGACAGATTGCATATCTGTTTAGAAAGTTGCTGGACCATCTGCAGAGGGGCAACCCCCTCCCATTTGTAAGTCCTAGATAAGAACCAGAAGAGTTCCCTGAGACAACTTCCACAGATCAACTCCAGAGAAGGGACCGGCTTCCCTCCCAGAGCAAAGTGTCTGTCAACTGTGCTTAAGGTGGTCTCTTCTCATCTAGGGGGATGGATGCACTTTATTCCTGTAGAAGTGACTCTAGTGACTGTATGCTTTAATACAACTGTGGTTTCACTCTTTGCTGTTGGTGTGTGTGTGTGTGTGCTAGGCTTCTCTCTGGATACTAACAAACTACCTGGGTTTGGAGTTTACTAGTTCCACAGTGCATAACAGCCAGGGAACCTAACTTCACAGTAATAAAAAATATATTCTTAAAAGAAAACCAGTTCTTTTATTATTTAGAGTTAATATTCCCTGGAAAGATCATGCACACACAAAGACACACACACACACACATGCACACACAATTACACCAGACTTCCCAGGGAAAAACAAAAACTACAGTTTGATTCAGTACTTTAATATCCAATAAACAGATTTTCAGGTGTGTCATTTTATTACCACAAATTTTATTTCAAAACTGAATCAATTTTTTCTACAAAATAGTTTCACTTAAAAAATGTTTCTGATCTCATACTGCTCCCTGGTGGCTTAGTGGTTTTGCACCTGGTTGCTAACTCAAAGGGATGCGCTGGGAAACTGCACCTGCTCCGTGTGGGAAAGTCTAAGTCCCATACACTCACAGGGGCAGTTCTACCCTGTCCTATTGTAATACTGGAGTGAGATCAAACCACACCACTTTATTAAAATTAAGACTAAGCCTTTTATTACAGCTAGCTGGGCCAATAGAGAAGTTTAACATGTAGGGAAAAATCCTCATCATGGGCTGTAGACAGGCTTTATACAGTAGATCAACCAGGCGGCTGGATTGGGAGGGAACAACTGTTAGTTATATTGTTTGATTATCAGGCAGGCAGGATACTGGGAGAGGGTCAGGCAGGGACTCCTGCAGGTGAGTCAGGGTCTGTCCAGATTTACTACATTCCTTGCTTACCTGGCAGACTGGTGGGAAAAGGGGATGACCTCAGGGTGTGTCAAGGTTTGTCAGGGGATTGGGAAGGGCTTATCTGGCAAGAGTATTTGTGGATGAGGTAGGCTATTAGGTGGGGCTGGGAATAACAAAATTGAGGTCATAGATGATCGCAATTTTAACAAAATAGAGTTTTTTGAGCTAAGCTGGGTTATTACACTGTAGAGTTCTCATTGACTTTATGGCAGTGAGTTTGGATCTGTCTAATACATTATGTTCATATCTGGCTGAGTTTTTAAAAGATACTTTTTGGGTGGAAGAAAAAAAACATTTAAAATAAATAAGTAAACAAAAAGATACTTTTTGATGACTACTTTAAAAGCATGATTACTTTTTTTGAATAGGACTAAGGTAAAGGGTAGATTAAATTGATCAAATCACATAGACTGTGTATATATTTTATAACAGTCTATTTCCTGTGAGCACGATGATAGTTCGT